ACAACAACAACAACAGCAACATCAAAAACGATGGTGCTCCCTCCCAGTATCTTGCTGATGTCTAACAACTCTAGGGCTGGAAGGGAGAGAAGGCGAAAGAGTAAAGGGTTCAGAGTTTCTGTGCCCAAATTATGCTATGACGTCTGCAAAGAGAAAATGGAAAAGAGATGCGCTTCTGCCGTCTGCCCACTGGGTTCCTATTAAAGCTTTCGTCCCAGTTCCGCTCCCCCAAGTGGTAGTAAGTCAGGGCCCAGTGCACAGGTATTGAGCTCTTGCAGTTCCAATCTTGTAGCCTTGAAACCGAGAAATCTTGTAAACTCCGCTGCCCCAACTCATTCGCCGTCAGGCGCCCCTGCACTGAGTAAACCCCTCAAATGTCCCCTGCATAGTGAGCCGAGACTGAGACTTATGGTTCTGCGCTACTCGTTCTTGCCTTCGCTATGGAGTTTGGCTCAAGGTTTCCCCAAGGCACCACGATGTTTCCAGAGCCGGAAGAGGAGCGTCGCGCTGACGGTCCACTGTTGCAACCGGTTTTGGCTACGCCAGCGGTACCCCTGCCTAAGTCTGTTTAAATCTTTTGCCGTCTCAGATCCTTGCAAAGCAAGCTCGATCTCGTGATCCGCTTCATTACTTGTGCTCCCGCAGCATTCTTGAACTCTAGGAGCCATCTGCTGCTAGTGCGCCAGCGAGCGTATGTCGGATACCAAGCTGCCAAGGTCATTAGCGCGCAGGCCCACAAATCGTTCCGAGCTTTTCCCAAGGTAAGCGGTGTCACATCTTTGTTGCCCAGGCTCCAGCGCCATGGCGCAGAGTGTCCAAACCACTTTGCGCATTTGCAATGAGCAGGTCGTAGCCTGGCTTTGTGGGCAGTTGGTGGTTGCCAAGGCCTTGAGCATAGTTGCTGCCGGAACAACAAAAACTGGGATGGTTCTCATTAAAGGCTAGTGATGGAAGTAATGCCTGGGCAGTCTCGCAATGCTTGCACCTGTCGCTTGAACTGCATGTCCCGTGCGCCTTGTTGGCTGTTGCACAAAGTGCTACAGGATCAAGTTGCGAGTGCCTTGCGCGCAGCAGGTCCGACGCTTAGCCTCGGTTTGCGGCTACAGTTTGACATAATTGGAGTGCGGCTTTTCGCGAGGCCACTGGTCTCAGGACATCGTTTCTCAGGCCCTAATGCGCATTGCATGCAGCGACCCGCAGCGTTTGATCCAAGCGAGCGCGCAGGTTTCCATGCCTGAGTGTATGCAGAATTCATGTGTGAGGGCCTCATTGGCCTCATGACAACGTTGTGTGTGTGTGTGTTTTAGGCATGCTCTCTGGGCTTTCATTTGCTGCCTTGGAGTTGTTCGTAGGTGCATAGTCTAGCCGAGCCTTGCAGACTGAGCCGCTTTGCACTCACAACTCTTTTTCGTGTCGAGGACCAATGTGTCAACTTTGTGCACTTGGCATGTCAGATGCTGAGCCTGCACTCAGAGTTTGGCAGATGCTTCGAGTGCGGCTTTTCGCGAGGCCAATGGTGTCAGGACATCGTTTCTCAGGCCCCAATGCACATTGCATGCAGCAGCCCTGCATTGTTTTCGAATGGACGGGGCAGGTCAAGAAGTGTCTGATTGAATTGTCGGAGCCCAATGTTCAGTCTTGCTGATAAAATCTCGCGACCCCCTGCTTGACATTAGGTCGCTTATTCTCTAATCAGGAATCACGAGACAGCAAGTTGTGATGTGACTGAAGTGGGCGCTTCGCGACAGGCACTTGAGAGCTCGGTTAATCTTGTTTTGACAGTGCAAGATTGACCAGGTCCAACACCTGCTGTGTGCTTGTGAAGTCAGCACCTCAGACAGTCAACCTTGATGCTGCCTCAGCCTTCACGGAGAATGAGTGATTGAGAAATCGGCTGAGTAAGCGGAGGCTTAGACAGAACACCGACTATACAAGGGTGTCCTGAGGGGATGCACTGCCCTCAATTTGTGCTCTTGAGCTTGACGCTTGGCAGAATGTTTGAGTTTGGAGGAATCCACGTGCCTGCATCCCGAGCAGTGAAGCCACGCCGGGGCAACCTCCCGACCGACTACCTCTACCGATTTCCAATGTGCTGCCGTGAAAAAAAGATGAACTGAAGGCACAGAATGCAGAGTAGTTTCCGGGCGCCTGCGATCTCGTGACCACAAGTTGTAGTTCCTCCAATTACATTTCATGTAAACCTTTTGCAGTTCACATTCGATTGCCTTGGGCCTCGGCACTGTTGGCCACCTGTTGCATCACGTCCATGTTGTTGGCCCAAATCTGGTTGTCAACGGCAGGTATGTAATCACAAAAAGGACCGTGCTGCGAAACGCAGATCTGTCGTCACTNNCAGTCACAGGGATCGGGGGGCGTCCCTCCCCAACCAAAACATACATAAAACCAAAACAATACGAAGAACAAAAACAAAAAACACGAAAAACAATCACACCATCATCGTCTACGGGAACTACCAAACATCCGATTAAAGCATATCTCAACTCCCGCTCCGTTTCGTCGTCGGCTTTTTTGTAATGTGCGCAGCCCAGTCAATATCCAGCTTAGCCGCTCAGCCATGGTTGCTCCAGGCCGATGTCCACCTAGTAGCTGAATGAGCATGTCAATCATTCCTGAGGACCGACTTCACCCATGACTTGGATTCCCACTCGTAACCACTCCTAGCGGCACCATCTATACCACCAAAGGCTGCCAGTACCGGGTAATCTAAGGAGTTCAGGAAGGGGCTTGGGTAGATCCCCACTCCATGGGTATTCTTTTGGGGTGGCCATAAGGGCCGTGGTCGCCCTTGTACACAACCATGCCCATCATATCCGCTGCCACCTTAAACTCTTTCGTAGCGAGCCATGATGGCAGCCCACCTGTTTCCTGAGCAAGCTGCCTAATTGGTGCGCTCTCATGTTGGAACTCATCGGGGTCCTGAGGGTTTTCAACAAGGTTCCTTGGAGGCTGTTTTTGGGCCCGTTTATTCTCCTCTGCTGCCTCGAACATGGTAAGCAGGCACCTCAAGTACGTCTCATCGCTGTCCCACACCATCCCACACCTTTTTCTTGTCAGCCGCTGAACGCGTATCTAAATGTTTGGCCTGACGCAACATCTTCCGCCTGCCCAAGTGACAACACCTTGTAAGCCTTACCTTTTGCCCTGTTTTCTACTTGGGCATCGGCCGAAAACCCCGTGTGGAATGTTTTTATATACACGACCACGACTGGCTTAAAAGACCT